TCGCGCCAACCAAACCGATCCACTATCGATCTGATTGGTTGAATTTCATTGAGAAGGTTTTGATTGGTTAGTATTTTTGAGCTCATCTGAAGTAGCCAATCAAATCGATTTAAGTTCCAACGAGAAACCACGCCACAACACGAAATTTCACTCCAAAGCACAATACTCAAGGACTGAATTACTACGTAGCACAAATAATAATTTATTTTATTTAAATTATTCAATAATATTCTTTTTAGATTGCAATTCCTCCATGTACAGTACACCGGTAGTCCCTCCGCCAGCAACAGGACTGTCGAGTGACCACAGGAATAAGAAACTTCATGTGTGAGGGAGAATTGGCACCATTATTATTTACTGGTAAGTACACATGCCTCGATAATGCTGACGCAACAAGCCCAAGGCAGCCCTCTGCACCTCCTTAGCCGACCTATCATTGCAGCCTAGCCCCGCCAGGTACTCTACGAGGAAAGTACAGTTATGGCAACGATGCCGTCTAAAACTACATACTACTGTAGTACTACATACTGTGCACAACGTGGTAGAACGCACAACCAACACACGGTACTCCTGGGGGTCTACTTATTTGCAGTTAACTACTTGCCGGTGCTGTTAATTCACTTCTGCGGGTAGTTGACGCTAGTTGGTCAAATGGGGTATGGTCCGGGGGGCAATTGGGGTGGAGATAACTTTGTCCAGGAGGGGGAATTGTGGGGTTAACAGGATGTTTACGTTCACGCACAGCAGCAACAAGTGAAGGAATCGCCCTTGTCGTGGTATCGTTTGAAATGCAGTGCAGGATTCGAGGTGTACCATGCTGGCCCCCTTATCAATATTACTTTTATATTTCATGACATTTGAACAATAATCAATTTTAGTGATTACTGCACAACGTGCCAACCAAATGTCCTCAATATTCCCCCAAGTGCTTAAAATTGCTCAAGTCACGCAGTTCCATAACAAGGAAATAGTCACGAGGTTGGTGCGGTCGCGACGTTTGCGGGCGCTGTACCCACGTCGACAGTGATGAGTTGAGGGACATTGTGACGACGTGGTTGTGTTTTGGGCTGGCACCTTTTGATGGTACAATCGACGCTCCATCTACATCATTCCCCAATTCCATTCTAGTTTCATGTGTTGCGTTTGATCTCCATGCGTACTCGTTCGTCCAACGACTCCATGGCGTGGTGGCTGTGGCTCATGACCAAGCACTTGGTCGAGAATTTCGTGCTGTACGCGCTCCTCTTCCTCCTCTGTGGCACCGACACCCCGCCCAGTGACAATGAGTCCAAGTCGTCCAAATTCGACATCCACCGCCAGTACGAGACCATTCCGGACGGACCCCCTCCGAAGCGACCATGGTGGTGAGTGCCCGTCGTCGCAACACCGGTTTCATCAAGAGCAGCCGTTGTATCATCCACCCTCCTTTGCCGTCCCGTCGTCTCCCTAACATGATAAACTCCTGATGCTAGGTCAACTTCGTAGTGTCTGTGTAACGTTAGTGAGCGCAGTACAAAGTAGTTTTCATAACGTTACTCCGAATGTTACATATATACAAGGGGTGTCGACTGTGGACGACGTTGCCATCGCCCCAAGCGTAAATCCGATGCTCCAGTCCATAGACCGAGCAAAGCGTCGTCGTCGCCACAAGGACGGCCTTGGTCATGCACGTGGCCAGTTTAACCTGACCCCCCTGGCGCCGCACTTTGTGGCCTGCCACCACTTTGCGTTTCATTCACCCGGTCGCCCGCAACCTTGTATCGCCTATGTCTTCGTGCCATGGAGCACGCCGATGCGCCCCAGTTCGATGTCTCTCTTCGCTGCTAACTACACGCCGGAAATGATGTCCACCGCGTTGAACGGGTGGAACATGTTGATGACATTGCTGCCGCCGGTGAAATTTCACTGTGGGAAATGTTATGCGGTATTCGGGATTAAAGAACAACATGGCCATTCAGTTGCCTTTCTTGGTTGACTGACTGCCCAAATGCCCGCTGTGGGGTACACTAAACTTAGTGCACATCCGTATTTCCACTGCTGGTTGACGGTGTTGGAGTCATTCGATTGAAGGAAGACCAGTGTAACTACGGCGGTACAAATATATATTTATATAGTATTAGACTTGGAGCAGCCTCATCGTTCTCACTGTCTCTTCGCATGCACTCCCCTTTGCAAGTGAAACACCCGGATCATGTCCGTCTCCAGCCGAGACCCGACCGCTTCGCCAAGGTGGCCCCTCAGCTTCATGTGGCGCACACTTGCGCGGAAGTCCTTGGCAGGGACCTTCAAAATCCAATCGCAATCCATCCACGACGTCAACAGCGCGTCAACATCGTGGTGCTGTTCGAGGTGGTGCTGCAAGAGGGCGACGACCAAGTCTCCACGTTGCCAAAGTTGCTCTAAAAGACCAATGCATGGAGTCAATTGCGCAAGAAGAGTCGCCAATTTAGATATGGGCACGTCAGCGGAGCTAAATAAGTCAAGGAGGATGGCCCAGTCGCACTCCTGCAGGGATGGCGCGGCTGCGGGCCATGGGTCCCCGCCTCCCATGGACTTTCCCAGCAGCCAGTTCCGTATGCGTTGGAAGGCATCTCGGTATATCTCGTCGCTACCTTCGACGTTTTGTGCGCTGGTGGAATGGGCGTCGTTTGCGCTGGATGGATGCATGTCGTGGGTTGATTCGTATGAGGCACAGTTTGGCGGGTCTTGAGGAAGTCGGACGAGTTCGTCTAAGCGACAGGATACCTCTGGCAGCTGCACTTCATACTCATCGCTAGATGTCACTCGAACACGCATCCACGCAAGCTGGAGCCAGTCTTCGCCTGATCCTTTCTCGTAGAGGTGGCGAAGCATGCTATGTGTTGTTGTTGGCGGTGTTGGGTCAACAACTTCCACTGCGCCGTCGTCGATTGCAGACACAGTTGGCACATGCGACGATGCTGGATCTTCGTGCGACTGCTTGGCTTCTTGTTGCTCTGGAGGTAGCTGGACATGTGTATCTTGTGACGCGTCCGGGCTCTTGGGCAATGCCAGCAACCTTCGCTTCTTCATCAAAATTCAATCACAATGGACGATTATTCGGATCAAGCGAATAATCCGGATACGGGAATCACCTTGTCAAGAGTCAAGAACCCCCACCACAATGGACATCCCGAAATGCGATGCCGCGCTGCAGCAAGCATTGAAGGAGCCGCGTCCAAAGCAGCTCGTGGAAGCTATCAATACAGTGGGGTATATGGACGCATCACACATGTTGATCATGCGCAATTCATGCCATGTAGTTTCTGAAGAAGAAGAAGGCGTCGACGAGCAGCAGCAATGACGACCCGACCCACTTGGAGTTCATCTGCCTTGATTGCAAGTCTGAAGGTTTGTAAATAGTGTTTGTACAACCATCCATGACTTACTGTTCGTTGTACACACGTAGGTGTCGAAGGCAAAGCCCGTGCCTTCTTTGCGTCGCCCCCAGTACGTCCACCCTCGCTCGTCCATCACATCTCGTGTTGTCGCGATCTGGGACAGCTGAAGCAGATACTTTTTCCTAGGCGATTGTTCTATGTGCGAACAGGTTGAACACGACAGAAGACGTGAAAGAAGTCGTCGTGCACGAGCTTATCCACGCTTACGACGTACTGATTGATCTGTATCTCACTCGTCTGTGGTGTTCATTGATCGCATAGTACACTGTGCGCAACATGGATCTCACTCAACCCGCGGTGCTTGCGTGCAGGTGTGTAAATCAATCACAATACACGCTTCCTTCCACACTACTCGTTCTTATCTTAGCGAAGTACGGTCGGCGCGCGAGTCGGAATGCTTCGAGAAGGCCCAAGCGTTATGCAAAGACCCGCAACTGTCGATGGTGCTTCACGGGTGCGACTGGTGGGTCAAGAAATGCGTAAAGCAAAATGCCATCCACGCCACGTCGGTAAGCGCGACCTCCATGTCATCATCCCCAACACTCTTGAGAATGCCGTAGTCGCTGTTCCCCCACGACGCCTCTACACATGTTCACAACGTGTTTGAAACGTGTTTTAAAGACCACACGCCATTTCAAAAATAGAATAAAAAACCAGTGGCAATTGAGTTTGAAGCGTTCTGTAAACTGTGTACAGTATTGTCGATTTTCTTCAAATTTCCCAATTTTGCATGGTTCGTTCAATCGAGCACAAATCGAGCCGAGACATCTGATTGGCCATTATCCACTTTACCCTTTCCAGTAGAAACTCGAAAATGGATTGTAGCCAATCAGCGACAGTAATTTCAACCAATGGGAGAGATTGGTGCTCGATTCGCTCGGCTGGTAGATTTGATTGAATGGGGTCCTGAAATTCATACCGAATCTCCAATACAGTAGTTCCATTCTTTTGAAGGGATTACGGAAACAATAGTGACACTGTTTTGCTCTCAGGGAATTAATTATTCTCAGGGAATTAATTATTCCTCATACGCTACTGAGAGAGGAGGTTGTCAAAACTTGACGTTAGCATTTCCTAGTACTACTAACTATAATAGTCTTACTACTGGGTACGAATTAATAGTACTACTGACTGGGGACTAGTACATACTGTAGTAACGTTAGGCTTGCCCCCTCGGGAACATACAGCAGAGGGACTTTGTTTCGGCTCTACCGAGAGGAGCGTGTGGACAGGAATGCTTTCAAGTACTAGTATGTGAATGTCGCAAGATACAGTCGTTACCACTAGCAGGCGTTGAAGTGGCATCACCAACCACATCGAAGTCCTATGCGTTACTATCCGATGCGACATCCTGGTCGCCTACTCTACAAGTCAACTCGAAGCGGATTCGCGTCAACTATCGCTGGCGTTCATCAATGCCATCTTATGGCTCGTGGCATGAAGGCACATGTGCAGGGTCAGCGAGCGCGCTTGTGCCTTCCATCACGTTGGTGTCGACACCGCAACAGCCCATTCCACTTTACTTGACCAGTATTATGGGACATGTATGAAATCGTAACAAAACGTGGTCGCAACCGATGCTACTAAAGGTAGGAGATGGAGAAGGTCCAAAATATAAAAATAATATGGCGGCCCATGGGTTTGCTATGACTATCCAGTGAAATTAATAATAAAAAACCGCCCAATTTCAAATTGCACCAATGAAACATTGAGATGTTCCTTTTATTGACCAATGAAATGGGACCTTTGGAGATTCCTCCAATGTGGCCACAAAAATATCCCAGTCGCCTTTTCGTTCATCCAACGTACTTGTCGCAGCTGCATCGACGACGACGACGACGACGCGTAGAAGTAGCACTGACGGCATGCAACAGAATCACCACCAAGATGCCCCTGCTGTGAATGCACAGCTCCTTCGAGACATGATGGACTGTGTGGATACGTCCAGCTTCCCCATGGAAAGGAAGCAGTCGTGGATGACCCTTCGCTCGCTAGTCTCCGGCAACGATGCCAACTTGACGAACGAACTGAACCGAGGCCAGAGCTTGGAGACGATGCTTCAACTTAGCGGGTACAACGCCGCAACATCAGGGTCAGGCCAAACGAACAGCGCCATGAAGCCCGAGGGTCATTCGAACGCGGCGGCAGCGCCGTCGTACTCGAGGTTTAACGCCAGGGACAGCGCCGAGAAACTGAAGCGGCTGTTGAGCTCGGGAAGTTTTTCGACGATGCAGAAGAAAGCGAGCGTGAGTGCGTTGTTGGGGCTGCTGGAAACGCAGCAGGGAGGCGGTGCCATCAGCCGCGCCGACGCCAACGAACTGTTGCGCAATTTGGGCTCCGACTACACGGAGGACGAGCTCAAGCAGCTGAGCGGGCAAAACATGTTTCGATCGTTCATCCATACGCCTGGTCAGACCATGGATCGAAAGAAGAGCTTCGACGTGATCCAGGGCATCTTGAACTCGTGCTCGAACTCTGCCATCCACAAACCCATGACATCCCAGGACAGCTTTCGGTTCCAGAACCTCGCCAACTGTTTAGACACGATCGAGGGGGCCGTTGCCAAATACGAGGAGGACGGCGGTGATGAGGACGAGCACGTCGTGGCGGTGGACGACAACCTGGACAACCTGCTCGACGACCCGTCGCCTGCGCCGCCCGCCGCGTCGGTGTCCAATTCGTCGCATCCACCAAACAATGCTGGTCCTGCGACGCAGTACACACGAAACGCTGCAGTCAGCCAGGTGCAAGCCACTTCGTCAGCTTCGTACGGTGGTGCAGCCACTCGAGCGCCACAGCAGCATACAGCAGCTGGAGGGGGACCCAGTCAGTACGGCTATCACCACCCGAATCAACACTTGGACGCCACGGGTCTGCCATCGTCTTTGAATATGCAGCAACAACCGCAACATGGGCACGTTCGACGAGACATTGGAGCGTCGTACGACCAGCAGCAAGTGTTTCAGCATCACCAGCAGCAGCACCACCACCACCACCAGCAGCAACATAATGCGCATCAACAGGCGGCCACAACCAACCTCTACGGCGGCAATCCAGACTTGACGTACGGTCGAAACAGTACCCTACCACCACCCCATATGATGGCAGCCAACTCGAACCACCATTACATGTACAACAATTACGCCGCTCCCCACCACCATCAGCAGCAGCAGCAGCAGCAGCACCTCCAACATCTGCACCACCAGCAACAACAACACCAGCACCAGCAGCACAATCACCAGCTCTTACAGCAACAAAGTCACCAAGCCTCCCAACCGGGTCAGCAACAGCAGTCCAACTACGCCACACACACGATGTACCAACAGCCCCAAGCCCCCGCCCCACCGGTCTACGGGTACGGCTATGCTGTCGGCCAAACCAGCCACAACGCCGCCCCGTCTGCGGCCGCGGCCGCACCAGCGTCCTCCCGAGGAGTCGATCCGTACCAGCAGGAACCTGCTGGCGTCGACAACACTCAATACGCCAAGTTCTGCATGTCCCCTGGCTGCAGCAACATTGCCCGGACCAAAGGCATGTGCAAGGTGCACGGCGGTGGCCGTCGGTGCAAAGTCGACGGCTGCATGAAGAGCGCTCAAACCGGCCACCTGTGCATAGCCCACGGCGGTGGGAAGCCGTGTCGCATGGACGGATGCCCCAAGACAGCGCAGTCCAGAGGGCTGTGCAAGCAGCACGGTGGCGGCGTTCGCTGCAAGTTTGACGGGTGCACAAAGAGCTGCCAAAGCGGGGGCTACTGCCGGGGCCACGGCGGCGGCAAGCGGTGTGAGTTTGCCCAGTGCAAGAAGTGGGCGCAGCGTAATGGATTCTGCGCCAAGCACGCGCAAGAAATGACCACGTAACCCACCCCCACAACATTTAGACGATCAGTTAAGTAGTACTGTAGTATAGCAGTAGTAAGTAGTAGTACATAGCAAACGGCTTGAAGAAAATGAATTCGTCGAAACGTCCTGTGGGGGGTCTACCGATCCATAGTTCCTACGAGTATGTAGGCAGTACTACTACCAGGTCGTATTTCTTTACATCGAGTTGGTCATTACGACAAGGCGGGCTGCTGCTTGAGGAAGGGCAATGTGAGCACAGACGCCGCCGAGTGATATACTATTTGCCCGCCGCCGCCCAGAGGCGTCCTTGCGCCGACGCGCGGCAGCTGAATGTGTTTGATGGGGGATCGCACGAGTTTCTGCGGGGTGACTGTGGTTGCCTGGAACAGCAAAGCATATTATGAATGGGGGTGCGACCACTGTATATTGAATCATACCGAGTTGGTGCTGGGGCGGCGCTGTGATACGGACGGCTGAGAATAGGACGACGACATGGAGGATATGTGGTTCTTGACATCCGGACTGTCCTCCGCCATGGGTGGCATGTGTGGCTGGTCGTGGGGGTCCAATACGATGTCGTCGATGACCTTTCGAGACCGTCGTTTGCGGCACGCGGGGGTTCGTATCCGCAAACTCACCGACTTGGAGGATGATGTGTGCTAACAAGACGATGAATGTTTCAGGAGGTTAGTTCTGAAACGCAGGGCATTTGATTGTACGAACTCTGTGGTGATCGATATGGTGGTCGACGGAAAGGACTTGAGGTGGCCACTGGGCCGGAGGTAACGTCGTCGCGGGGTCGTCAATGGACGATTCTTCGGGAACGATGGACGAGTTTGCAGGGGGCAACTTTTTCTGAACGGATGACCGGCGATGGGGTTGGACGCGGGACGGAGTGTGTTGTGTTGCGTCAAAGGCGGGCTCGGACACAGACTACCGCATGCACATCGTAAGCATTGGTGGATCGACGTAGTTGGATCGATTGACACGGCGACAGAGCGAAAACTCATTCGAATCAAGCTTTATCATACCCGAGGAAATGTGTGTACACCGCCGTTGGGGTTGTGTTGTTGACGTCCTTCCCAAAAAGACTCACCAGACTTGACCACGAGCCCCTGCGTGATGACCACGCCCTTGGCGGGACTTGAGTCGTCACCGAAGCACGGACCTCCTTCTAGATCCCCGTTTCCAATATAGAACGGTTCGTCAGTCGCCAACAGCGCCTATACGACCTACCACGTGAGTACATCATTGACAGTGATCTAGCCTAGCGCACCGTGAAATATGCTCGGGATCGAGCGGTTTTCGATCCCCCAGGTGTCTTCGGCGTCTTTGTGCGATTTGACCACCTCGACGAGCTGCGGGAATTGTTGGTTGGCCGAGCCGACGCGACAGCAACATCGATGCGGGCGCTGGTTGGCGGCAGGACAACCGTCGGCTCAAACACGGCTTGGGGGATGTGCTTGAACATATCGCGCTTGGACCTCCTTGACACCAAATGGCTGTCTTCCCCCACGATCATGTCGGCCCCCTCGACCAGAATGACTTCAGACGCACCCCTTTCATTGTCCAGTCCGTCTAACACACCGTCCCGAACTGGCGATGCTCCCATATCGGGGGACGCCCCCCCCCCATCGCCCACGATCCCTTTCCTCATGGATTTTGTGTCTGAATCCACGGGTTCGATAACAAGCCGCACGACTGTACGACTCCGCTTGGCGTCTGCCTGCATCCGAAGTTTCTCATCTCGCACGCGCTCTTCCAGGAGCTGCTCGATGTGTTGTCGGCGCTGGAGGTCGTCCGGGGACAGCGGCATGTCGCTAGGGCTCACTGTTCGAAACGCGAGGTCCCGGATCGACATGGTGACTTCCGTGTCTAGCACGATGGAGCCCAATTGCTGTGACGACTTCTCCATACTGCGCCCACGCATTTGTTTGCTACTTGGAGATCCTTGATACGCCGACCGGTATTCACTCCCCTCGCCGTCTTCATCTAACGACCCCAAGCCGTACGGATTGTTGTGGGAGTGCCCCCTCAACAGATGCGACTTGGGCTTTTTCTTGGCTTTGATGCACTGTTTGGACCAAATGTCGGGGGGGCAAGGGGCGGGAGTGTCCCCTGCCTCATACGTCGCCGGGTTGTCTTTAAACTTGGTACTCAAGTCGATCGTGACCATGCTCATCATGTAGATCAGGCCATTCACTAGCTTGAGCGACGTATATTCAAACTAATACCAATACAGTAACATGTGAGATACACTGCATAAAAATGACACTTATCTCTATGAAATACCGTGTTGTTGGCTTTGAGAGTTTCGTCGATGGTTGCGTCCACGGCGTGCAAGAGGAAGTCCACGACGAGGGTGACGATGTGCTCGCCGTCTTGGGCGCGCTGGTAAGCGAGGACTGCCGATGACGGGGAGGAGGATGCGGCGGTTGTCGGCAGGGACGGCGGGGAGTCATCATCCCCCGACGCATGCTTCTTGCCCCGAGTTGGCGTGGCGCGCTGCTTGGTCATGCCCTCAAGCCACGCCTACTCCAGGGCATGCTATAAATACTCACGACGAAACTCCCGTGAAGTTTACAGTTTAACCCACATACCTTGTCGACACCTTCTAACACTAATAATCGATCATCCACAATATATCTCCAAACCTAGACCGTGTTTTCTTACAAAACAGGTCGTACTGTATCATCTACCCTACTACTTAACCCTATCCCGTTGACGCTGTCATGCAAAGTGTACCGTTACTTTGTGTACTTGTGAAGTCGACGACATACAGTACACAGTGTTGATTGCTTGGAAGGGCAATGTGACAACAACCTGGGCAAAGTTGTTAAAGTACGTGGACACCACACTTAAAAACCCAGATTCCAACTGTACAGTACCTTGCACAACCACCACCATCACCTCTGAAGAACTCGAAAACAGCACCAAACATAATGTATATTTATTTGGGTGTGTCTAAGCATATTATTTTTTGTGCGTTGCCGTTTGGGCTTGGCGAATCATGTCGAGGAGGGCGCCGACGTTGGTCTTGTACCGCAAGAGCGTCGCGTGCAGGTGTGTCCAGTCGGACAGGGCGAACCCCCGCTGCAAGCTGCGCGAAATGACCACGCTGCGCCCGAGTTGGTTGATTTTGGCCTGGATCAAGTTGGCCGTGATGGCTCGTACGACCCACGTTTCCACGTCCGTTTCTGCAACTTGCAGTTTGGCGATGATGTCGTCAAACGAAATGTCGTCGTGGCCCGTGGGGTACGCACATAGCGTCAGGAGGCGCATGTTGGCGGCGGCGGCCTCGGCGTCGATGCCGTGCTCTTTCAGGACGGACGCCGACGACTTTTCAAACGCCAAGTACTCGGTGAGGGTCTTGGAAGAGAAGATATCCAACAGATCAAACACCTAGACAAGCAAGTCAACATTTCTGACGGAGCAGCTAGTTGTACCTTGTCCACGCCCTTAAGCGCTTGCACGGCAGGCAAGTGAATCAAATCCACATGGGCCACAAAGCTGTCGATGGGCGATTTGATCACCAACACCGCGGCGCGCACGGCTACGGCCTTGGCCTTGGCGGCGTCTGCTGCCTCCACCAAGGTCAAGTACTTTTCCAGGAAACGTAGGGCGGCATGAACATCCTTTTCGTTCTTCTCCAAGAGATCTGCGATGGTCAAGTAGAGCGTCTTCAAGTTGTCTGCCGACACCCCCACGACCAACGCATCAATGTTGTCAACGTAGCTACACTTGCATGTTGAGGATCTGGGGATGGATATATGCCCGGGCTAGTTACCTGCGGACAAGCGAGAGGTTTTGGGTCGCGCCAGCATATTGGATGGTCGCGAGCAAGACTTGGAAGCGCAACGCAGCGTTCGCAGCCGGCGTGGCGTTGAACAGATCCGCGAGGCTAGTCGGGATCCGTCAAGCATCATGTCAATGAGAAGGTGGAGGATTATTGCCTACATGCGGAGCTTCAAGATGGCATTGGTGTGGTTGGCGGTGACGACCTTGACCAACGCATCGGCGTGCGTGGTGCCCGTGGCCTTTACGAGCAGTTTGAACAGCCCTTCTACGTCAGTGTTGTGACCCTCCACGGCGAGGACCGTCGCGGCCTTGGAGACCACAAGGGCAGCAGCATCTTTGACAGAGAGGGACGTAGCATCCGTTGAGGTTTCCTTCAGGATAGCATTCACATAGGACACCAAGTCCGTCGCGGTCGTCGAGTCATGGTCGGCCATCGTCGTGCAATTCGCGAGTTGACTCTCTCACCACCAGTTGCGACTGGGAGGGGTGACGAATTCAATAGTCGGAGAATAAAGCCAACGGATTGGCTGAAACACGATTTCTTTGACACATGGGTATTTGATTGGCTATAATAGGCCCACAATCGACTTGGATTGGCTAAAATGATTTGACGATCCACTTCAATTGGCTGAAAATGCACATTCGATCCCTCGAACCGACGACCAACGACACCAACGATCGACGATGACATTGAATACTACTAGTACTTCGTAGTACAATGGTTACTTGGCTATCGACACATCGTTGTCTTTTACTACAGGTGGTGATGGTGTGTCTGCATCTTTAGCATCGCCGTCTTGGGCGGTCAACGTCTTGCGGGACTTGCGTAGGTTCTGCTTCATTTTCTCAAAGATCTTTTGATCGGCCTTGGACACGGACGGGAACACGGTCTGGAATGCCTGCTCGAAGTGCTTGGCGAGGATGATCAGCTCCGTGGTGTGCTCCGCCGACTCGCGGAGGACAGATACACCCGCCTCCCGGACGAGGGCACTCAAGTCGGCGCCGCTAAAGCTGTCGCAGCGACTGTCGTACGCCACTTTTTCCAAGTCAAGCGTCGGGTCCAGCGAACATTTCGCAGCCAGCGTTTTCAGAATCTAATAGTGTGTTGTGGGGTGACAATGATAGATTCCGAGATCAAGGCATACATGGAACCGATCGCTGGCCGTGGGCAGCGGCACATACAGCAACTTGTCCAAACGTCCTGGACGAAGCATGGCGGGGTCGATGATGTCCGGGCGGTTGGTCGCGGCGATCACCACGACATTCTTGCGTGCGTCCAAACCGTCCATTTCCGTGAGGAGCTGGTTCACCACACGCTCACTCACGCCGTTGCCGCCGTCGCTCATACCTAAATTAATTACAACATGAGCACTTTTATGTCCAAATATATATATATATATATATATATACAAGCGGAAGCACGAGGTTTGCCATTTTAATATACCAGACTCGTTTCAATGAAACAACCTCCCACAAGAAAAAAAGGTACACAATGCCAAACAATAAACATATTGTCGATTTACTCAAAATTTGGCTGACTTTTGTGCTGATTCGCCAAATCTATCGATCGATATCTGCTTTGTACTGATATATTTTGTATGTAAAAAGGTGTCCGGTGGTGATTGGTATCACACGAATTGAATTCACACACTAATTCGACGTTAATGATGGTTTCCTGCAATCTGATTGGCTAAACCCTACTTCTGCCGATGACTCTTGTGTAACGTTATATTTGGTTGTGTCGATTCAATATTCTCCATATCGCTCCAGTTTAGAATAAACCATAAACATACCACAATAACTTGAACAATACATACCCAGATAAATAAATAAACACAAAATAGGGTCTGCATCAGTAAAAACGTCAAAGTCAAAAAGTCCTAGAGACTTGGACAAATACGGTTGAAAAACGCACCTCGACGGGGACAGAGCGCGTCAAGTTCGTCAAAGAAGACGATGCACGGGGAACTTGCGCGCGCGCGTTCAAACACTTGGCGCACGGCGCGCTCGGACTCGCCGACGTACTTGTCGAGCAGTTCCGGGCCTTTGATGGAGATGAAGTTGGCGCCACTTTCGTTGGCGATCGCTTTGGCCAGCAGCGTCTTCCCGCACCCAGGCGGACCGTACAGCAACACACCAGCAGGCATCTTCAATCCCAGCGCCGCAAACCGTTCGGGGTGTTGGAGCGGATGCAAAATCGACAGCACGAGCTCGGCGCGCACCTACTCGCCACGGTCGTACATGACGAACGATATAAACGATTAAATCAACGAGCACTAACCTGCACGAGCGCCCCCACGTCGCTCCACGACACATCCGGGATCGTCGCAAACCCTTCGCGCTTGGAACTGGGCTGCACCTTGGGCAGCGCGTTGAGGAAATCCATCATGTCCACGCGGAGGGGTTCCAGTTGTTCGGCGGTGAACGGGGCCACGCTTCGGATCTCGTCGTTGACGGTGCGACGAGGGTCGTCGTCGACGTCCTCCGCGGGTCCGTGGGGGGGCACGGGGGTCGTCGTGAGCAGCGTCGAAAAGATGCGGTTCACAGCCAACACGGCGGCTTCCTTGGTCAAGCTCACGAGGTCGGCCCCGACAAAGCCGGGGGTGCGCCGCGCCAGGTCCTTGAAATCCATGTCTCCCGACAGCCGCATTTTGGACGCCAGGACCTACCAAATAAGGGATATATATATATATATATATTGTCGATTGTCTTCAAGTTTCCCAAATTTCCATTATTACAGATTTGGCAACTCTGCACACACATGTCTATATTTTGGGTCCACGGACGCAAGATCAAAGTGTCGAAAAGCTCATACAATCAATACAAACAAACCCGAAGGATGCGCTCTCGAGATGGTTCATCGGGAATGCCGAGGCAGATTTCGCGGTCGAATCGGCCCGCCCGACGCAATGCTGGGTCCAGATCGTTGGGCCGGTTCGTGGCGCCGATGATCAGCACCGGTTTGCCGCCCGTGTTTTCCAGATTCAGCGTGTCCGTGGACGTCAAGAGCTGCGCGACGATGCGCTTCTCCATACCGCGCGACGAATTCTCGCGCTTGGGGGTGATGGCGTCGATTTCGTCAATGAAAATGATGGATGGGGCGTTCGCGATCGCTTGTTCAAATAGCTCGCGCACCTTTTGCTCCGATTCGCCCGACATGCCCGACACAATCTCGGGCGCGCTGACCTGCCAAACACAACAAATGACAACCGACTATAAACGGCATAGCATACCTTGAGGAAGCATGCGCCGGATTCGCCGGCTATCGCGTTGGCCAACATGGTCTTCCCCGTCCCCGGGGGACCATGCAGGAGGATGCCGCGTGGGGGCTCGACGCCCAGATGCGTGTAGATCTCTGGATGCGTCAGCGGGTACTCGATGAGTTCCTGGACTTCCTTCAGGATCGAGTTGATGCCCCCAAAGTCTGTGTACCTACAGGAACCATTCGACTGAGGCATATGAAAGTGATCGCTCGCGAATCTACCGTGTGGTGGGTCGCGTCACGACAAAGTCGGACGTGGGCGGCGGCGGCGGGGCCTCGGCTCGCACGCGCTTCACCTTTTTGGGTTTCTCGTCGACGGCATCGCTGGCCTTGTCGGCCTTGTCTGCTTTGGTCTCAGCTGGAGCCGCAGCTGCATAGCTCTTTCGGATGATGTTGTTGAGGAGGTTCGACGGTGGCGGTGCCGTGCTTTCCAAGGCTTGCGCCTGCTTCTCGTCCTCGTCGGACGAATCTGAACGGGGACGCTTCCTACACATGCCACGATGAGCGTCGTCATATGACTGCATGTGGGCGCGTGGGGAATATGTATGTATACCCATCCGTTTTCGGCTTTGGCAGAAACTTGCTGACGATTTTGCGCAATGGGCCCTACATGGTATTGTCATTCCGGGACTTGGTTGACAGGCATACCGCAGGTTTTCGTGAATACTCTGGGTACGTCGACACGAGATATTGCACGACCGTCGATTCTGTGATGATCAAGCCGGCATCTGCATTCTCACGGAGGAACTTCTCCACATGGAACTTGATCTTTCGGTCCATCGAGGTTGGTGGCAATGGGTTCACTGTTTTGGGTTCGGACCAACCACAGCCGACGACGGCGTTGATTGGTCAGTTTCGCGATAGTACTACTAACAAATTAGTACTTTCGTCGTAGTACTCCGGAGTACTAGTAATAAATACTATTAATAGTCGTAATACTAACTGTTAATAGTTAGTAAGTTTAGTAAGTTAGTAGTACTAGGGTACTTTATTACATTATTATTACTATTAATAATAGTAGTACTATTAACATTAATACCTCTTCGAATAACTATTTTACTGTTATTATTAATAATAATACTGTAGTACTATTACTACTTCAGGACCAACTACTACGTAGTACTAATAATACATAGTAAACTACTTCGGGGCATGTCTCCATGCGTAAAAGTCTCATGAATGGTAACGTTAGTTAGCATGGGCGCCAGATTGCAAATGCACAAAACATAGTGCGAAGTATCTATAACGTTAGCCAAGGTATGCACGGTCAAATGCTTGCCGCTGGACACGGCTGCTATTTCCATCAGGAATTGGCTCAAATCACTTATAACGTTATATATTTATATGAAATGTAACCTCTTGCCTCAAAACGACAGCCGCCATCATGCTTTGCAAGCGTTCTATGTTTGGGAAGGTACGCGATAATTATACCCTCCTTCTCCAATCCGTGCCCCACATCTTGACTTCAGTGTCTTCACATTGCAATTGGCCACATTGCAATCAAAGCAAATCCAACACAACGTGACGACGATGTTTGCCTTTCTAAACTCGAAGACTACACTCCTATCGCTGCGCGCAATCCCAGCCATGATCGCAGCTTTCCTTGCAGGCTACATCTGGTTGAATCAACACCGTCCGTGCGAACCCATCGCCGCGGCTCGTTATGACCTCGGCCGAGAAGATTTGCCGTTGATGGCGTCGGCCCTCACCGTTGCTGTGCTAACGCCAGTGTGGCTCTTGTTGCATCATCGCCAGGTCAAGTGTGTGGTCAAGTTCAACTACGCGTGTGAAATTTTGTGTTTCGTGCTTGTCTTCGTGCCCACGATGTACTGGGGCAGCTCCCGCACGGCAACCCTTGCGTGTGCTCGTCGCAGCCAACTCAACTCGGTGTGCCTTCGCAACACTTGCACTGTGGTCCGAGCTACCATGATCACGGCATGCGTGTTGATGGCCGTGCTGGCCCTGGCGAGCATGGGTGTGCTGCGTCAATGGCGAGCGCCGTTGGGAATGTCGTCCATTAGCAAGCCAACATCGTTTGTCGACGCCACCGACGTCACCGTTATTGACATCGAAACGCCTCGGGAAACTTGCCACACCGAAATCCTCACCCCCACCACCGTGGAGGGAAGCTCGTCGATCCAGTCCAAATAGTTGTGATAACTTTAGTCGTGTAATTGCATATAAATACTTCGTCCACGTACAATCTACAGTGTCCAGGAGCCCTCACCACGTTGATCACTTCATGAAATGAATCATGTCAATGCACGTCACATGTCGATTTGGCCTTTCTTACTTTAGAGTCCTGCAGTACAAGTAACTGCTACTAGTATTACTAGTATATTTAATACTTGTACTTGTAACTGGCACGGTTTCACATGGGGCCACCGGATCGATTGAATGGGCACAACAATCCCAGAATGAGGCGTCTGTCTGTTGACAGCGATGCCGAGAGCTCTTCGTCGTTCAGCGACTTGACAACGTCGACGTTGAATGCAAGCAATGGGCTCCCTGTGCCGTTGTCTAATGGTAGCCAACAACCCTCTTCGTCTTCGTCCGACATGAGCAGTTCGTCCGAAGAAGCGTCGTCGTTGTCGTCGTTAAGCGATTCCAGCTCGTCAGAAGATGAGGTGGACTTTGTGCAGCAGGTTCAAGAAAAGCTCAAGGCGGGCTTTCGCGCAGTCGTGGGAACGAGGGATTCTCGCTTTGCAAGCCGAACAAACACAACTTTGAAATGGAAAGAGGATGTGGCATATGCGACGGCTGAAGCAGCGTTCGTGGCCCAAAAGAAAGCATCCCAAGAACTCCTCGTGGCGGCTTATCGTGATAAGAAACTGGACCGCAAACGAGCTAAAATGACTCGCCAACAAGACAAAGCCAACCGCAAGAAGGCCAAACTCATGGCTCGCAAGGTCGCCGCTTGCAACGTGAAGGAAGAAAAATTAGACAAAAAAATGACCATCTTGGCCGAGCTGCGGTTGGAACGACTCACAGACGTGCGAGCAAAGAGCTTTCACGTGGAACCACCGTGGATGAGTGCTCAGGAGTCGCAATTTGTCGAAACTTTGGCTGCGTTTACAGCCAAGGAAAAGGCCAAGCGCATGGCCTTGGCAGATAGTATTCACTTGGCCGAGGACATGGGACGAAAGATTGGCACGCTTCCAGCCATCCATTCGCCCAGTCGCATCAAGCACCCGGAACAGATGGAAACGGCCACGACGCTAGTGTTGCGCTTGGCCGATGCACACGTTACGCCAAGTCCTGAACCGACGCATGATGCCCCCCATACGACGACTACAATACCACACGAGAAAGCCACCCGCCACAAAACCTTATTTACGGTCAACCTCAAGCGCTTTCGACACGTGGAGCAGTGCCAAGGGGACAAGATCGGTGAACGTGGGTGTGTCGAGTTTGGCAAGTCGCTACTTACTGGGGCGTGTCCCCGCCTCAAGGAATTGAACCTCGGATGGAATGCGATCAAGTACCGAGGGATGGAATCGTTGGCCATGTCGTTTAGCCGGGGCGGGGGGTCGCAGCTGACTCTGCTGGATCTGAGGGCCAACAGTCTTGACGCGACGGCTCTACGCACGCTCTTCGACGCCATGGGCCACGGTGGCGTGCCTGAGCTCCAGACGTTGATCTTGTCGGGCAACATGTTGGGCGACCTCGGGGGAAAGGCCATTGCCCATGCATACTTGAAGGGATTGTTCGGAACCTTGCGGTTAGTGGACGTCAAATCGAACGGCATACGGAACGACGGGTGCCGCGCCATGTTTACTGCATTCACGGCCGACTGTTTTAGCCGGTTGGCGCCGAAATTGGAGCTTTTGGACATGCGTCGCAACTGCATCAACCAAATCACGGCCGAGTCGTTTGTACCGTGTCCGAAACACATTACGTTTTAGATCAGATTAACGTGAAAACTTAGTATTTATTATTCGGTTTCCATTTGGTTTAACGTTACGGTAAAAATGATTTTTTATTCATTGTTAGTATCCGGATTGACAGCAGTATCCGAATACTACTCGATACTGGTACAGTGTATTCAAAATGCAGGACGATGGCATCCTGCATGCGATGGCGGCGAATGAGGCGTATGTCAAGGCGCTTCGGAGGATGATACAGTCTTTGGAAGAGGCTGAGGATCGTTTGCTAGGCCGCATGCACTTCTTGAGGAGAAAGAGATATCGTAGCCAGATCAAACTCGATGCAGATCGTGCGTCCCAGTTGAAGCTAAAGTTGTGCCCTAGCGGCAACATCTCGTCTGCTGCATGCGACGACTTATCTCCCAGGACGAAACATGTCCGCACCACCGTCGATTTCAAGCGCGGGTACTTTCAGACTCCCTGCGTCACCCAAGTCGGCGGAAAGTTGGTCGACGGAGTGGCTACGCCAGGCGCCAACGAGCACGTACGCGCAGTGCGTCAGCTTCGCGGTCTCCTGCTTCCCCTCCAGCCATCCCAATCAATCGCATCGACGTGGACTTCAAACGAGCAATCATTTCTCACCAGCGCCTTTGTCGCATGGCCCCATCATCACCGCGAACCTACAAACGACGAATGGGAGTCCATGTGCAACACCGTCGTGTCGTGTGTTGAAACGAAGAAGCGGCGGTGGGTGCGCTTGAAGTGCGCGCGCCATCCGTGGTCCCCCGCCGAGGACGATCAACTGCGCATTCTCGCGGAGACGCGGTCGTTGGGCTGGCGCGGCATCGCGTCCATCGTCTCGACGCCATCCATCGCTCGGTTTCCTGCGGAATGTCTGATTCGGTACCAACGGGACTGCAATGCAGGTGGCACGTGGGACTTTCGGCGGTGGAATGCCGATACCCATCAAGCGCTGCGGCAACTCGTGCAGGAACTGGGCGAGAACTGGCCCGCTATCGCCGAACGGACTGCCCACCGCACAGCCACCGAGTTGAAGCGAAAGTGGCACGAATTGCAGACGATCGAAGCATGCTCTGCTGCCAGTGGCGACGGAATGTCATGTAGCAAAACAGACCGATTGCTAGTGCTAGCTGCGTACTGCTATTCGCGTCGATGGAGCGACGTGCAATGGACCAGCGCCATGCGGCACATTCCGCACCCTCCACATCGCATGCACCAATACATCCAAACATTTGACAAGGCTTTGAGTCCCATCTGTATTCCCGCCAACACACCACACTCGTAGACTCGTCCTGAAGGTTAAACATGAAAATGTCGGGATTAATTGCATCCTTTGAACTGGTATCGGTGTGTTTTACGCCTCGGTAGCAATATCAACAATAACTTGGAGCTTGAAACTCCTCTTGAAGTCAAGATTGCCAACAAGTACGAATGTCACCGGCGTGCAAGGTGGTGATCTGAAGCCCTTTCAACCTTGCATGATTGTATGAGGATGTTGCTGTCCATGTTGAACGATCTGTAGTCTGCCGCTATTCCACCGATGAGCTTACGGCGGAAGTTCAACGCATCGGTTACATGTAGCTTGTGGAGTCGTTTGCGCTTGATTTGAGCGCGATTGAACGAAAAATGACTGTGTGGCGTATGTTTGAAAATTTCCTGACCTCAGCACAGGGTCCTGCCAGGTGCTTGCGAAGCGACAAGAAACAATAAAAAAATCTGAAAATAGCTTCAGAATCGTCTTTTGATTGGCTATCTGTGGTCGAAATTTAGTTCGATTTTGGGATTATTGGCCTGAGATATCGTTCCGAGAATTATATGTCTCCAGTTTTGCGGAACGGAGGAAGTAGTAGTACTACTATTTCTATCAACCAATCACAGCTCGACGTTGATTTCACCAATCACAGTCGCCGAATCCGAATTGCTCCAATTGATTTCAACATGGACGCCGTGGAGGCGGCACTGGACGCGAACCGAGCGTATGTGGCCGGCTTGACAGCCTTGGTCAAGAAGATGGAGGCGCAGGAGTGCACGATCACGAGGCGAATGAGTTGTATTAAGGAAGCAATGCGGGCGGAGCATCATGCAGCCATCCAGGAGCACTTGGCCGCGGTCATCGAATGTTCGTCGAAACCACGAGCTCCGTGCCCAGGAAACACCAAGAAGAGAGACCGGGGGTACTTTCAATCTCCGAGAGAAGCGCCTTTTTCATGGCACAATCCCGACTCGTTATTCGTCCGCGTCGTGCGCGCCAAGTTCCAGGACTTTAACTTTCCCACGCAGCGCCGGTGGTTACCCAAGGAAGTAGCGGCTCTGCGCCAAGCCGTGGACATGCCCATTTGGCGTAATGGCATTCGCTGGGATCGCATGCCGCTTGTGGCCAAGCTCCAAGGACGTTCGGGCCACGCGTGTTTCCTGCAGTGGACTATGGACCTCGTTCAGGCGCTGGAAATCATGAATCCTTGGACTGCAGAAGAAGACTCGGCGCTGCGCGCTCTCCATGAGTCGTCCACGTCATGGCCAGACATCGCACGCACGATGAGTCAATCCTTTTCTACGCGACCAGCCGTCGCATACATGCTACGCTTCCAGCGGCACCTTCAGAGCCCGCAGCATGCCAAGAAGTGGACGGACGACGACGACGTGGCGCTCAAAGCCGCCGTCGAGGTGTATGGCGGGGAGGCCAACGTGTGGCAGTTGGTGGCCGAATCCCTCGATGGGTTTACGCCTAATCAATGTGGCACGCGGTGGCGGCAATCCACGTGTCCATTGGTGAAAACGGGGAATTTCTCCCTCCAAGACGACCGGCGGCTGCTCTTATCCTTAGGCGTACACCAGAAACAACAGTTACTGCACGGGGACACTTCGTTTGCACATGTTGACTGGAACCTGATCAAGGACTTTGTGGCCCAGCGCACCAGCTCGCAATGCCGCGAGCGGTTCAACGATTCGCTGCACCCGGACCTAGTCACGTCGTCGTTTTCTCCACAAGAAGACGCGGTGCTGAGGCACTGGGTCGGCGTGCACGGCTCTCGGTCGTGGAGTCGGATCAGCCAGCATCTGAGAGGCCGCACAAACGATCAGTGTCGACGGCGGTGGGGTACGCTGCTGTTGAGAGAACGCTCGACACCTGCCAGCCGCACGTCGAGCCCTCCTAGTCCCAACGATGATCAAGCAGAGGGTGTAGTTTTTGCCACCGACAGCCAAGAATAGCCGACACGAAACCACTATGTAGCGCATTGTACACGGAGATTATAGTTAGACGTTGATATTTATAGACATGTGAAAAAAGAAACGTCTCGGGCTCGCTGCGAGCAGCGCATTCCCCATTGACGAGGCACACTACTTCTGCCGTTGACATACAGTACACAGTAGTAGCATGGAAGGCCTGAGCATTTCTGCCGTCGGCGTCCGTCGCGCTTCGACTTCCACGGCATCGTCGTCGTCGTCGCACGGGTCAGTGGGCCGCAGCGCGATAACCCCCTCTCGTCATGGATCGTCGACTTCGTCGTCCAGCAAGCACGTGACTGACTCGAGTCGGTACAAGCTGTCGGAAGGGTGCTCGGTGAACGACGAGAACAACGAAATCGACGACGGCAAGTACCCTGAGCCGACCAAGATGTACCGCCCCAAGGAATGGTCGCCCGAAGTCGAAGAAGGTACGTACTGCCACGTCATATATAAAGCCATTCTTGTTGCCAACACGGCCAAACCTAGCGTTTCGCATCCAGCAAACGGGATGGCGAGACATTAACGACTACAAGAACAAGTACGGAGACCCCGATCGATGGGAAAACGGGTTCATCCGATGCACACGGGTGAAAGCCAGTGGGTATTACACGTACTGGTGCGTCATACTGTCTGATGTTGAGATAAGCAAGTGTAACCACGAGCTGGTTTGGGTTTACGATATATATGAATACTAGTACATGTGTGGTGTCGCTATGATCATGGCGGTAGTAATAATATATATGATGGTATTTCTGGCATAGGCGCAACACCCGCGAGTGCGAAGACAAGCACTTGATCAAAGTCAAGGTGTTTGAATACTAGTTTGACCAGCAGCCGCAGCCGCAGCACCTCTCGGCTATATTCCTTCCATAATGGACTCTATTTTTTCATTCAATTTGGTGTGTATTCTACTGCAGTTTGGTTGACATCATCACGGGGTACTTTGAGGGGCTTATAGTCCCCACAAAACATAAGCCACCACCACCGCCAAAAGCGGCACAAGTCCTGCCAACACCCACGCCAGCGACGTGGTTTGAGTCGTCGGCACGTTTTCATCAGGGACGACCTGCGGGGGGGAGTTCTTGGAGCTGCTCTCGTCGAGCAACCGTCCTCCCCAGCGCTTCTTTTCCTCGATTTTGGCCAGTTCCAGCCTCTCTTTGCATGTCGTCCAAGCCTAAGTTTGGGGGGTGGTTGCGGGAAGCTGTTGCTGGTCGGGGTCGTCAGGTACCTGTCGAATGGCCTTGTCGGTAGGGTTCAGAGCTGCCGCTTTCTTCAGCACGACGATGGCTGCGTCGAGGTCGTTCGTGTTCAAATACGCTTGACCTTTGCGGTACAACGCCTTGACGTTGTCCTTGTCAATTTGGAGCGCCAGGTCGCAGTTTTCCAACACCTTTTGCATGTCGCCGTCGTCGAGGGCGAGGTGGCATGCCGCCAAATTCAAGTACACTGCATGTGTGACATGAGACAGAGTGATCTCATGACACGGTGTAAGTGTACCTGGAAGGCGCACTTCGTTGACGGCGTCGCGGTGGTTGTCCAGAAGCTAGGTCGTGAATATAGTGGAGCCATGCAATTGGGGGTAGGGCGGACGCTACCTCAAACGCCCACGTGCCTTCATCAAAGTCCACGTGGTACAACGCGCGTTCGTAGAACTGGATGGCGCGATTCCGCTCGTCCGCCTTGTGGGCTGCCGCTCCGAGCTCTTTGCATTGCTGGGCGTCTTCCACGCGTGCTTCAAAGATGTAGGATCGCTCCTACAAGTCCGTGATGCTTCAGTCATGGATATGCACCTTCACGTTGGTTGGTTGCTGCTCTGTCCTGCACCTTGGTCATGAGCTCTTCTTGGCTCTTTGGAGTCGTGCCCATGTTCGTGTCGACGCGTTCAATAATGATTGATAAAAACGCGTTCATTAATTATTACAGGTAGTATAACTAACCTGTAATATTTTGTACGTACTGCTATTAATACATACTAGTACTACCCGTAGTACTTCGAAGTAAGTTAGTAGAGTTTCCACTCTCCAACATCGACTAGCCAATCATGTTCGTTTGACGAAGAGTATCAACCAATCAACACTCCTAATGTGCAGTACTAGTATTGGCCAAATACTATTAATACTACGACGACGTAGTACTATTAATAGTATTAATATAGTTTTGTTTGATGGCAATGATTTCTGCCTGCATATTATAAATTCAACAAGACATGGAAACCAACGAGCGCGGAATCAACACAGGGTTAACGAACGCTTGCCTACAGTACTACTACAGTAGTGGCGATCATCGACATACTGAATATCACCACACACTCCGTTGCTTTTAACGTGATTGTATTTTTGTGCTTGTCAAATATCGTCTGCATAAGTCGACGTTTTGGCCAAGAGCACGGGTAAGCTAAACGGTTGGTTGGCGGCAATGCGAGAGTCCAATTCAATCGCGTCCACTCGAAACGTTAGCCATCTACGTCATTTCAGACATATAAAAATAATATAAAAAATCTCAAATCTAGCACGTACTCCTTGGTGGCTTGTACAGTGTACGGCATGAGCGTTTGCGGGACGCTTTCACCGCCGACATGTTGGCCCGCGACGCCTTCCAACTTGTCCGATAGCGCATCCCACTTGTCTTCCTTGTCGGCGGCGGGCAAGGGCGTCGTCTTGGGAAGCTTCTTCTCTTCGGTTTCCGTGGCATTTTGCGATAGCACTTCAATCCACTCGCGCTGTTCGTCGTACGATGGCGCGCACAGCTGAAACTTGGACGTGGCGCCGTTGTCAACGTAAAAGCAATTGAATAAGATCACGCGGTTGCCGTTGGACTGGTCGATTTGGTTGGCCATTTCCCCCACGCGGGCGCCCAAGACGGAGATTTCGCGCTTGATCGGGCCAGATTCCGTGTCGGCGTAGCCCAGGCGATTGTTTTTCAACGAAAAGAACTTGGTTTTCCACTGATTTCGATACAAAAAGCCCTGTTTCAGCAGCTGCCCCTTCTTCTTCCACGACACATGGTGGTGGTGGTGGTGGGACGTCGTCGTCGGCTTGCCAACTTGTTCGACCGCGGGCTTCTCGCCGGCCAGCTGCGCCGCGTACATTTTCGCGGCGGCGTACACGGATTCCAACATGCGGTGGAACTGCACTTGGATCTTCGGGTCCATCTTCGCCGCCGCCAGCTCCTTGCGGTTCAGATCCTCCGACACACTGCGCGTTTTGCGGGCTTGACGATGGTGTGGCGTGCTTTCTTCCGACTTGCGTCCGCCGCCATTGTCGTTGGTGGGGGTGCTGTTGCCACTCGAGCTGAACCCCCGCCCCGCCAACCCGCCCGACGATCCGCTTGGCGATGGCACCGTGATGGTGAGCGTGGGGGACGGCTGCGGCGACGACCGCGGCGACGAGCTCCACATGGCCCGGGGGGAGCTGACTGACCCGAGGCGCTTGGACACGGACTCGATGAGGTTGCTGGCGCTATAACTGCGCGACCGTTGCTTGTCGCTGTCGGCTTCCTCTGGCCCCAGGGACGACGTAAAGTCGGCGCCGACGGCGTCAATATACCGCCGGCTGTGGGGCGGGGTGTCGACAAACGACGACCCCTTCTGAGTCCACGCGTGGGGTTTCATGGCACGATACGCGACCAACGTGTGGAAAAAGTGGCGCACTTCGCTGTGCCAGTGCAGAAACATCTTCATAAAAGTATCGGGTTGGGCCAGTTCGTAGCGCAGTTTGTCGGCGTGCCGTTCGGGAAAGCAGTCCCATGTATTGTACAGAAACTCGAGCGTCGTGAGCAGGATCTGCGTGTGTTCTGATTCGAGCAAAATCTGCAGCGCCGACGTGAGGAACCGAAAGTCAAACGTGGGCGGAAGCAGCGACACTTCGTCGCCGGCAGGGATCGAGTACTGCGCATCTTGGTGAAAGTTCCACCGGTCGTTGTTTTCCAAATGCGATAACCGGTACGACCCGAGCCGTACGCGCCATGATCGGATCATGTACATCCACACGCCGAGGAGCTCGACGGCGCCGATCACGGCGGGCACTTCGTGCACGTTGGTGGAACTCAAGAGGAACTTGGTCATGGGGTTGATGATCGTCGGGTTGCAGAGCATCGTGCACGACAACTTGTACAACGTCGGCGGCAGCCACCCCGACTTTTGGCCCTTAAGCTCAAGGAAGAACACCTTGATCACTTGTGCGTACCCTGGTAGATGCACCCACCCGATCTTTTGGTTGAGCACTGCGAGCGTGTCCAGGACATACCACAGCCACTGATCCACGAGCAAGATGTTGAGCGTGTTGGTTTCGCCCGAGATGCGGCGGAATCGGATCCGGTACGACTCTAGCGTGACCTCGTACTTGTCTTCGGCTTCGTCCTCCTGAGCCTTGAGTGTCTTCTCGCCGTAGCAGTCGCATAGCGCCTTGTGGAACCGCCGCCAGTCCAAGTGCGCTTCGAGTCCATCCATCGCAAACAAGTCGGCGTCCGCGTTCATTTCAAACTCGGCCGCGAGTTCCTCGACTGGTTCAATGTACGATTCGGCCCACACCGAGTACAATTCCACGCCAAAGCTCGGGAGGCGGAAGCACAGCACCGACAGCATCCGCGCCACGAAGAACATAAAGTTGTTGTTCATCACACCTCGGACGCTCACGGCTTGGAGCACGCAGTACTTGGTTTCTACGAGCATGGAGCGCAGTTTCAGCCCAAACTCAAGGTCTTTCTTCTGGGTCTTGTTGCCGCCGTGGAAAAAGCCGAGGCCCGTCGTCGACGACACCGAGTCAAACCCGAGCAGCGGCAAGTCGCTCAGCTCGGCGCGCTTGACCAGGTAAAACAGAAGCTCGTAAAAGATGTTGCGCAGCGCGTAGTGCCGCACACGGATGTTTTCCAGCAAGAACTGCCACAGACGTAGCAAGATGCTCTTGGTTTCGTCCAGGGCGTCCGTCGACGCGTACACCCACGATAGCATCGACGCCTTGTGCGATGTCTGCAACACGCGCAGGATCTTGGTCGCTTTGCGGATCTTGCCCTCCTTGTCGTCCTTGGCCGTCGTTGACATGAGCTGGACCAGGTCCTGGGTCTTCTCCAATACGCGCTGCGCCTCGGCGGGGATCTGAACCTTGGACTTGCGCATCTTTTTGTCGTTGGACGCGCCGACGATCACGCTGCTCGACGACGAAATGCCGTTCTCGCTGATCACGCCGCTGCGGAGCTGCCGGACGTCGGGGATTTTCGTAAACAGCACCGTGCCGTACACAACGCCCACCTGGTGGCCCTTGAGCGTCAGGTTCTGCTCAAACTTGGACGTGAGGCTCGACGCCTCGAGCGGATTCAGCTTGGACGCGACATCGTCCATGTCCTTCGAGTCCGTGCGCCGACGGAGGCGTTCCTGCAGCGCATCTTCAAACAATTTCTCGAGCGATAGCCAGCTTTGACCAAACAGAACCGTGTTCTGCAGCTCTGCGTCCATGGGCACGTCCGGGTCGAGTTCCGCCTACGAACACAAAAAATATATATTCATCGCATGAGACAACGATATTGAACTGTCCTTCGAAATCGTTTGGATGACTATGGATGGGACACGGTGTCACAGAATTCGCTGCGATATATATATCTTGGACAATGTAGTATATATATATATGGACTCTCTAATATATATATATATATAGGGCTCCAACAAATTCATGCGGGCAATGGGATACGGTACAAGGCGTCACAGAAACCATATATATATCGTCCACAATGCAATATATATATATATATATATTATATATGTAACAAATATATGCGAGAAATGGATACCGTACAAAACGTCACCGAAATCTAATTCACAGCGAGAGAGAGATATCTTTCACAATGCAATACATATATATAATTCACCCTACAACAGCGATATATATATATCTTCCACAATGCAATACATATATATAATTCACCCTAAAACAGCGATATATATATATATATTATCCACAATGCAATATATATATATATATATATATATATATATATATATGGACCCTCCAACAAATATATATACGAGCAATGGGATACCGTACCACTTCCTTTTTGTACTTGTCAAACATGAGGAGAAACCCGTTGTCAGCATCAGACGACATTTGACCTCGCCCGACCGACAAATTCCGAATCTACGATGGGGTTAAGATATTATACTAATTTACATTCCAAAGGAAAATAAAATAAATAGAAATAAAAACGAATGATGTTGGACCAACAATAACTGCGCGCACGAACTTCGAGCTTGAGTGTAGCTGACATGAGTTCGTCAAACGTGCTGTAGCGGGTGATGGGGGGCAAGCGGTCGGCGGCCGAGGTCCAGCTCACTGCGATTGGTTCTTCCGGGACGGCCGCGGCGGACGACGACGACAGCGGCTGGGCGTCCCCGCTCGGCGGGCCCACCGAGACGCTCCCGCTGGTGGCGCTGTCTAGGTCGTCGTGGTGACTCGTGATGCGCGCCATGTTGCGATTCGACAGCACTTTCAGGCGCGCCAATGCTTGGAAACTGATTTCCTGGATGTTTTCAAACGGAATCTTGTCCGCGGGCTTGAGGGTGTTGCCCATTTGAAACGTTTCGGACGTCCCGATCGTGCACTTGTACGAGACGGCGTACTTTTTCAGGGGCAGCGACGCGTCTTCCTGGAAATCGTGCCCTTCGGGACGGTCCAGTTCGTTGCCGATCGCAGGCATCATGAGCCCAATGTCGCTCACGCAAATATTCCAGTTGCTGCATTGCTCCATGTAGCAGTTGAACACGACGCGGCCGTTCGAGCACCCGAGCAAATGGTGGTCGTGGTGGACGGGTCCAGTCGCCACGGAGAGCAGGTCGATCACGGCGGTCCCGATCAACGTCTTGCTCTGGAACGTGCGGCTGCTAAACACTTTGATCGTGCAGTTGCGTTCCTTGAGATGGGCGATGCTCTGCTTGTACTCGAACGAGATCGTCACGCCTTTGTACGTCGGGTTCAAGTCGGCCTTGATCACGGGAGTCGTGAACGGCGCTTCAATGTCGCCCCAGTAAAACTCAACGAATGGATCGCTCTTCCCGCCAAATTTGCGAGGCTCTAGGTTTCGACACTGGATACCACTGATACGCACGCGAAAGACGCATTCTGTCGAGGACAAGTGTGACGTGTTCTCGTCAAACATGGACCGCGCCAACTTGGGCGACTTGGAAGGGCTATGTGGTCTGGATGCAGTCACAACTTCTCCATATTCCCGGGTCGCAGAACTTAGCTGGAAGTTGTCCACCGGATGTGGCAGGTTGATGGAAAGGGCCGATGCCTGCGGAGACAGCGACGAAGACATCTTCGCTCTCCCGATCCCAAAGTGAAACACCACCTCCGTTCCCGGATAATGCCACGATATCCGGATATCTGAGATCCATATTTATCTTAGCCAAGGCGGCGCCACAATGCTCGTTCCTGCTACTGTACGTCCTTGCATGCCGTATCGACTTCACAGCTACTCCACATACTTGGACTCGTTCGCCAGGTACCGAATGTGGCCTGGGCTAGTGATGCGCCGATGTTCCGCCGTTGGACCAACCAGTTGTTACAGCGCACATAGAACGCGCAATTTCGCGGTGCATTTGGTGTCTCACCCTGATCAGGCAGTGCTCAGCGTTCTGTACAAAGTGCTAGCAAGCAGCACATAGGCAACCCCTAGCTACATATGTACAGTACGCTGTGCTGCATGTGTTGCTAGCCCTTGCGTGGGGACTTGCGCAGTGCGTGCAGTGCGATGTGTTCCAAAATGTCCAGATTTGCCGTTTCAACTTTTCGGATTATCCGGATTCCGATTCAAGTTTCACCAATTTGGAGGGAAAGTCGCGGTGGTGGCCAAGCCAGTGGTGATGAGTGCCGATGCGAAGTGGAATTGGAAGGAAATCATCAAGCAAGATAAGGTGGAACGGCCATCATCTTTGTCGTTGTCTTCGTCCGCTGTTGTTGGCGGGACTCCGCAGGGCGGCGGCATTGCAGTCCCCAAGCCCTTCTACTCCCAAGTCCCGCATCGACCCAAGAAAGCGAAGGCAGCGTATCAAGCGACAGGAATCACGGCAGAACAAAAGCGTGCTGCGTCGCTTGCGCAATACGGTGTCGGTCCATCTCGAGACGGTGTCGGTCCATCTCGAGACGCTGTCGGCGCGATCCGCAACGTCTTCATCGCCCAATTGGCCGACGACGAGCCATTGCTGCCCCTACGCAAAAAAGCCGACATCTTCCGCATCTACACTCCCGACAAGTCCACAGAGACTAGTACCGTGACGAACGTCGAAGATCCACTCGTGGTGGAAGAGTTCTCCGGTCTTCGCATCCGCGACCGCAAAGTGCCGGCGGATGTGATGCGCGAGCAAATGGACGGTCGAACGTTCATCAAGCTGGCCAAGCTGGAGACGTCGCGGCGGCAGGACCTCGAGAACTCGCAGGTACCCCGACCATCCAACTGCCTTGTATTCATACACATCGGTAGTTGGATTGGGTTACGATCGGCGTGTTGGCCAAGTCGACGCTGTCCAAGGCCGCTTCGGGCAATGCATTTGTGGCATGGATGTTGTCCGACTTAGAAAACGCGATGGCAACTTTGTTTCTGAACAATGACGCGTACTCTTGCCATTGGAAAGAGATGGAGGGCAGCGTCGTGGCGGTGCTCAATCCATCCATTCGACCTGCCAACGAAGCCGGCAAGTTTGCGCTCAGTGTCAGCGCTGGCGACAACATTGTCAAACTCGGTACGAATAACAGATATATATATATATATATCGCATGTGCAACGTGCAGTTAAATTGGCCGGTTCAAAAATGTATATATAGTATTGTTTTTGGGGGTGCAATCGAATCGCGCCAACCAAACCGATCCACAATCGATCTGATTGGTTGAATTTCATTGAGAAGGTTTTGTTTGGCTAATAATTTTGAGCTCATCTGAAGTAGCCAATCAAATCGATTTAAATTCCAACGAGAAACCACAACACGAAATTTCACTCGAAAGTACAATATATATATATATATGCATTTTTGAAAAAGATATATATTATTGATCGAATGGGCAATGTGCAGTTGAATTTGCCGTTTCCAATGTCTATCGTCTCTTGTCGAGTTTGTGCAAAGTGCAGTTGACTTTATCCTTTAAAATATTTATATTTATAATATATATATATAAAAATTATTTATCGTATGGGCAAGAGTTCAAAACGCGATGAAAATCATTCGACTATTGGCTTGCTTGGTACAATAATTAATCCCTCACATGTGCAACTGTACTCGTTCAAGGCACGGCCATGGACTTTGGCATGTGCAGGAGCCTCACGCATGGCGGCAGGCAGTGCAATATCCCCATCAACGTCACACATGGCGACTACTGCGTCGTGCACGTCGCCGCCAAGTTCAAAGCGGCGGGGAAAGGCCGACAAGAGCTCAACGGGGCTGGCACATTTCGGGCGGATTTGTTCCAACACGGCGACAGCGTTCGAAACGTGTCGGCCGGCACGTACGGTACAATTACCCACCAACAAACTCCAAGTTTGTCATGTCTTGCTGATGATTCGTATCACATATTTTAACTTCTCCTCGTCGTAGCCCCAAAGCAACCAAAACGAGTGCCAGCAAAGCGCAAGCGCCCGTCTGAAGTGTTTATGGCCCCCCCCACCATCACCACCACCCAAGTGGATGCGATGGGGGGGGTCGTCGTCGTCGTCCCTGCAGCTGCTGCCGCCACACCATCCCAACGCCAGACTTCAACCTCCACGGCGCCGGATTTCGTGCGAAGAGCCGACCCAAGTGGATCGTTGGAACAGTTGCGCCAAGTCATTCAAGGCGGCAAAGAGGGCCACAAGGCTGGCAGTAGTGGCCCCAATAATAGCACTTCCAAGAATGCCCTCATGTACTTACTACCCCTACCTATATATATATATATGCTCCTCCTGCTACGAGAGATTGTATATCGACGAATGGGTTGGATGGATGGATAGTGCAAAGATCCTTGGCGTTGGCACGGGAGTGAAAAAGGTCAACATGATGAACCTCGTCATGAAACAAACAGGTACGTCCTCTGCCCTGCCGCCTCCGCCACCCCCGCAGGCTTTGAAACCGCTCAATTCGTCGACTACACACGGCATGACTCGACCGCTGTCCACCGCGAATGCGACCGCCGCCGCTACGTTGAACCGCCGTCGGCCTTCCCCACGATCTAACGACGCACTCGCCAACGTCAAACGAGTAGCCCCTCCATCTTCGAATCGACGGGCCAGCCAAGTCACGTCGCTACGAGCAAGTGGTATGTTGCCCGAGTAAACAAATAATAACGTACAGTATTACACTGTTGGCTTGTATTTTAAATAGAAATGTGTCTCCTAGCTAGCTAGGTAGGTAGAAATCGTCCCATCTGCCAGTGGAACCCATAGAGCATTCTCAATTGTCAGTGAACAATAGCCTTCACTCTCTCTTCTGGGTTTGCTTGTGGCGACATACTAAGTATGTACTAACTAGTTTCTGTGAATCCACGGTCAGTCGTTTACTAGGGGAGACAGACATTCCATCCCCTTTAATCAGACAGTGAACAATAAAGGACAAATGGTTTGCATTTATATTATTGTAGCCACAGAAGCGTAGTAGCGAGCGATCTTCCATACATAGCCTCGTCCTCGACATATCGATTCAACCAAATGACAACGTGACTCTATGATTTCTATTACGTGGCACACGGAGAAGGCAGGTTGACGGAGACAGGTGTATGCTTCTATTACGTGGCAGTCGGAGAAGGCAGGTCCACGGACAAAACGTCGTCGCCTGGCTTGCACGCCTTGGCGATGACGTTCAAACTGATAGATTTGTTGTGAAACACGAGGTCGCTGGTGTCTTGAAACAGCCCGAATGACCGCACAGTCGTCACGTTGCAAAAGCCGGCTTGGGCTAGAAACGAGTTGAGAATGTCCTTGTTGAAGCCCACTTTGTGAAAGTCGTGGGCGTCCACTTGGCCGCCGTAGATCATGCGCATGACGTGGAAGCGTTCGTGGGGTGTCAGGGTCGGGTCCACAAACAGCGTCGCAAGCACCGACAGGTCGGGTACGGACACAAACAAGGCGCCGCCGGGTTTGAGCACGCGGAACCACTCGGCCAGCGTCGCCTCCACATCCGCGGCATGCGTGCCGTACCCGCAATGCTCCAGTGCATGCGACGAATAGATGGCGGTGACGGAGCTGTCTGCGATACCGTGCAAGTGTTTCATTTCTCGGACGAGGTCGACGTGTGGCAGCGGCTGGATATTCACCACCGTCCATCCTACTCGGTATACCTACGATTGTAACGTCAATCTTAGCATGACAATCAATCACGTTTTCTAGATTGGTACGGACGTGGCCGCCAATATGGAGGAGAAGCGGGGGCGGTGCTGACGCGTTTCGGTGGTGGGCCTTATGGGGAGATGGTTCACTGGGAACTTCTTCCAGAATGACACGAACGTGCCCGGTAGACTTGGCATGGGGGGATGAAGGGTACGATCGAGCGCTGGACGACAATGGAACGATGACATGCATGGCCGCAGGTACATTTGGACGTGAGGAAGTCCCCAACTGCCGCTCCCACGTCGCCAGCACACCTCGTCCAAACGCATGGGTGAAAGCTCTCGTATCAAACAACGCTGCGGATGTCCTTGAAGATGACGCAATTAGGGACGTCAACTGGTTAGATGTGTGTGACACTGGGGCGTCAAAAGTGTAGATGTGTGACACTGGTAGGATGGGTACCGTTGGGATTCCAACGTGCGCCGCAACGACTTCAACAAGTGGGGGCGAAGGGCCAAATGGACGGTCACGTCTTCGTACTCTTTGAACGACCGCGTGGTCATCACGTTCAAGCGATCGTCGTCCATCTAATGTCCACAGTTTTCACCTCGCACAACAATATGGAAAGCTACCGACGCCACGGCAGAACTAGCTGCCCGATTGCTCATGCGGTCACCTTGCAGGGTTACAATAGGCACACCTGATGATATACATAGGTTTAGTAGTTGACACTCGAACCCTACAAACACTCTGAGGTTTGGTAGTTCGTACCTGCCCACAACGCATCGACGATGGTCGTGTGGCCATTCTTGAGGGCCGTGTCTAGAACTAGGTCCGCCGCTTGCTTTACCTGGTGATTTACACACAAATCGGTCGATGAAGTCGGGGTTTCATCACTCCAAGATCAGAGTGCGGTGGCTCGAACGCGACTTCGAATCATAGTACGTACCCACGTGTGGTTAATCCAAGGGGTCAAGGGGGTAAACACAAACCGACTGGCGCCGTCAATACCAAACTGTTTCGCTTGCTGGACGAGGTTTTTCTTGGCTGCGGCATACCCCTGCGATGCAACTGTTCATTGGATGGAAAACTACTGAAAAGGGCGTACAGAATACTGCTGGAACCACACGACTCCGTGCGGCACGCGCTGCAATATGTGCATCCACGTGGCAAAGATCGTCGGGTCCATTTTCTACCGTCCCGTGTGACGTTGTCGCGTTTCGTTGGTGGAGACGTTGGAAAAACCGTATCGCATATTTATTTACCTGCCAGTTGCTAAAGGTGGCGAACACAAAGGCGGAGCGGGGCAGCCCTGCCAAATTGGCTTGCGATCTCGTGGGTCGACGGGTATCGTTGTGGGCTACGTGGCGCATCATCTACACGGTGATCAAATAGAGTCCCGCTGCTCGTATGTGACGTAGTACCTGTTTGTGGTCGTTGACAATGTAATTGTGAGGCAGGTAGATCATTTTCTCTGAAAACGAATCATGCACGTGCAAAGGCGACGCGGAGACGGGGTCCACGATAAAGTAGTCAATGAACGAACTACCCGTGGTGAGAGGATACCCCAAGAACGTCATCTAAAAGTGATTGAGTTCGTTTGGAGGCGGTGTATGTGACACTGTACATACCTGCACCGGAGCGGGTCGATGGCTAAAGATGGGCAGCCCAGAGTGCAACGTGTGACCGTTCAAGTCGACGAGCACGTGAATGCCGTGGCTATATATGGCTGACGCAGCCTCTTGGTGGTTGACTCCATGAAGGGAAATCATATGGTCCACCTCTGCCGTGATGTTGGTGCGCCACCACGATGGGGCGTCGGTGAGAGCAAAGCAGTAGACCTACTCTCGACAAGACAGAATCGTTTAAAGACTTGTGTCGTTGAGTAGTAGTACTGCTTAGTGTTTGTCCAAGTTGTAGGAAGTAGTACCAATCCAATATGAACTACCTCGAAGTGTGGCGATGGCAGCATGGCCATGAGCCCACGCAACAACGTGGCGACTGGGTGGACCCCAAAATCGGCCGAGACGAAGCCTGTGATATGAAATAGTAGGATTTGTATAATTGCAGTAGGGGAGGTGGCAATTGTACAACACGAGTACCAATTTTGAGCTTGGGGGATGATGCCTGGAGTTGGGGATCGTCGGGGCTGCAACAGAACGTGACAGTGCTGGGCTGGGAATGAAGGGCCCGCTGGCTGGCTTGCAGAATCACATTGCCGGGTAGATTGCCGAGGTCGGCGGCGGAGACTAATGGTGTACGGCCCTGCATGATGCACGTTAGAAACGTGGAATTCATGTCCGAGTTAGTTACGTGGATCAAGTTGGATGCCGTCGAGGCGGCCACAGTGTCCTGGACAAGCTCGTGGTCTGTCCAATTGGCCACCCAATTTCGAGCTTTGAACAGCACGCTCAGGTCATCCTTGATCTTCTTCTCCACAAGCGCCACTTCAAACACGCGAATGGCGTCGTCCACGAGGAACTGGCTCAAGTAACAATCGCCTAAATGCATGTACACTTCGCCGTGGTTCGGGTGCAGCGCCACTGCCTTCTTGAACGATTCTGTGGCGTCCTGTAGTCGTCCGAGGTTGTACTGCGCCACGCCCAAGTACTCGTACACGCTGGGAACGTGCCCGTCCAAAGCGGCGTGGTTGTGCGCGACGATGGACTTGCACAGTCGTTCGAGGCCGCGCATATCGCGATTTGCATTCAAGTCTGCAAGTCTGCTTCGGTATTCTAAGATGGACGTGGAAGTGGTGGTTGCCGGCGAAGCCACCATGGTACATGCCATAGCCACAACACACCACCATCGCGTTCGTGTCATAGATGGCCCTTTGCGAAGATCGCAAAAGAAAATCCGGATGTGAGCCAAAACTCCGGATAACAACGTTGATTTCTTTCAGGATACGATGGACTTGCGCACCGTGCGCATTGCGGTGGTCGGGGACTCTGGCGTCGGGAAGACTTCGTTGGTTCACTTCGTATGTCATGGCACGGTGCTGGCTCACCCTACATGGACGATTGGATGCACCACAGAAGTCCTGGTATGATGTACATACCAGGTGTATTATGCCTTCATGCCTTTGACTATCCACGTAGCTGCATCAAAACGACACGTTCGTCGAGTTTGTCGACATTGGCGGCAATCCAAGGTACGAGCTCAGTCGAGCGGCGTTCTACCACGAGCTGCACGGTGCGTCCATTCATATACTCTTCTGGATGTCTCACAAACGAACGATAGGAATCATCTTCGTCTACGACATGAGCAACATCCGATCGTACAACAACTTGCGAAAATGGATCACGTAGGCACAGACCGATGCAACTCCAGTGTGTTGTCCATAGCGTCACCACCGTCGTTCTCATAGCGAACTTTCTCTCGCGCAGAAGAATCGACCTCATGCAGTTGCCAACCCCGACAACGTACCCCACACTAGTCTCTGTCGCTCTTGACAAAATGCCTTGATTCATGATTTTCTCATATAGATCGGTGCGTTGCCGACGTTGGTCATTGGAAACAAGCAAGATGCCGTCCATACGCAACGTATGGCACCTCTTCGCGACTTAAAAATGGACTCCCTTGAGGCTGTACGTTCGTGCAGCAGTGTCGCCATTCCTCCGTACTCATCTCCATGTAGAGCGCCATGGAAGGGCGCCTGGACCTGCCTCGCTTCCATCTCTTCCTCGACCGCGTCATAGCCACAGCCTTCACGTCGACGCCGCGGCAGTCGAGCCACGGCATTGTCCGAAACCGGGGCCCTACCTCCACGGCATCGCCCCACGGCACCCCAACTTCAGCCTCGACCAAGAGTTCCTGGTGGTCTTAACTTAGTTCTTTCCGCCAGAGTCTCCAACAACTCACATATATGTAACACATGCCGTTGTTTGTTATTTGTCTTGATCGCTACTACCCACATACGAATCATCTCATCTCCTAAAACTCGATCGATCGATGGCTGGACACAAGGTTGCCCGTCGCCGCGTCATCGACATCCAGCTCAAAGTCGCTCGCGTCCGATTGCTTCGAGTCGGTCGATTTGACCGCGGCCCGAGTAGGCGTCTTGACCTTGGCCGAGTCGAGCTCCTGGTACAGCGAGGAGTCCTTGGCAGACAAGAACGTGCCGCCCGACGTCGACTCGTAGTCGCCGTCAATGTCCATGCTGTAGCCAGTCAGCGTTGTGTCTCGGGGGTTGGGGAGGTACACGGCAGTCCCGTTCGGGTAGGAAACTGGCGTGGACGTGAGGAAGCCGACGCCAGGCTCGGACGAGTACGAGTCCTTCTGCACAGGGACACTGCTGAGCGCCTTGAGCGCTTCGATGCGGTCGTTCACACTCGACGGCGGATGGTACGACGGCCCTTTGGCATTCGTGGGGGACGTCACAGATATGTACGGAGCAGGGTACACGTCCGTGCTGTCAGTGGGATGGCTGGTGTGGATGGGGGGAGGAACGGCAGACGACTGCAGGTAAGCGCCGCGCCCTTGGGACGGCCGACGGTAGTAGGTTGGACGTTTGGCCGGCGACGTTTCGCTGGACGACCCGTTCCCGTGGGCAGTGGTTAATGACGTGACCCTGCCGTTTTGCTGCGTTGCTTCACGATCCCGGCGCTGTTTTTGGGCGTCGGCTAGCAGCCGAGCGTGGTTGTCCGCCTCGCGCTGCTCCTCCATGGCTTGTATGGCTTCTTCTCGGGCCTTGGCCTTTCCGCGACGGATGCAAATGCAGCAGCACACCGACGCCAGGAGGAGGACAAGCGCACCCCCGCCGATGATGATCCACCACACCCAGTCGTCCAGGTTGGCGAACCCGCGAAAGATTGCACGGCCAGTCGACGACGACGTCGATGGCGTCTCGTTCGTGGGTTGTGGTGTCGTTGGTATTGTTGTGGTGGGGGTGGTGGACACTACTTTGGTCGTTGCCGGCGCGCGTGTGGTGGTCGTCGACGCGACTGTCGATGTCGGAACAGTAGAGGCTGTCGTGGTTGGCGTGACCACAACGGACGCCGTGGTAGTGGGAGTAACAGACGTGACGACCGGTGAAGCAGTGGTAGTGGTCACGGCCACAGGGGAGACTGTTGTGGGGGTTACTGTGGTGGTTGCAACTACCGTCGGATCGGCAACTTGCGCATACAATAGATCTAGGAAGCATCGTTTGACTAATGAAGCGAACGGAAAGGCACATGGATGTACCTGTCGTTGCAACGAGCGCTACAATAGCGCGCAGCAGCAGCGTGACCTTTGTCATGACGATGAACTAATGTATCGTGCTGGCCCTCGACGTGGACGGCGACGTTGGCTCAATGAAGTGTGTAATTATATTGCGATATCTATTTTTATTTCCGTTACATTTTTTGTCGGCGCCCTTCTCCTTCTGAGGTATCCAATTTTTCGACTTTTAACAATTATAGTGCATCCATTAACTGTAAAATGCGCTGAACATTTTGAAATGCTTAGTATTACTACGTAGTACTACGGTAGTAGTAGTAATAGTTAGGATTGAGAATTAGTGTGGATTGAACCGTAAACTTACTGGTAGTGCGTTCTTAGTGCAGAACAATTTGGTGTACGCAGGCATGGACCAAGCCCATACTGGAACATCGGTATATGCCATGCATGTGATGCCCAATTGCTTGGATAGTTATAGAAAGCCATCGAAGATGGTTTAATGACCCTTCGATATGATGTGTCTGCTCTGTTGTAATTCACCATATTCACACGCACAATTTATATTACTATACAGTATGTACCCACCCTCTCACACTTGATATAATTTCCGGACCCCGCCCAATCGAATCTCGTACTCGCACCGGAACATTTCATTGGTTACTCTGAAAGTACTCAACGCTGATTGGCTGTACTCTTTCCTTGTCCTTTCTTTGAATGTCGCAGCGAGGAATGTGCTTGGAGAATTGTTAGACCGCACCAATTTTGATACTATTAATTGTAACGTGAAGAGGTACTGCCATTGGAAAGTATTAATACCGTAGCAAGCGACATACAGTTTAAAGCCGGTCCCCGACGCGTACTTCTAACTCCATGAAGTAAATAATTGGGAGCCAGTGTTCAAAGTAGAAAAAGTCAAATAGCGCATACACTACCCGGTACCAGCGTTCTAAAATGCTTACTCCGAATATCATGTTCTATTTTGACTTACAGTTAATGTCCATTGATGTCAATGTCACACAGTGTTTGTGTGAGGAGAAACATTACTTTTATTTGCTATCACACTACACCTGTGTGATGTGTGTACTGTATTCCATGACACACAATGCCCGTATGACACAATAATTGCGCGGACGTAATCGAAGTGGCTTTATCTGAAGTGTAGATGGTGTGTTTTACTAGTATTCTACTACGTACTACTAGAATTCTACTACGTACTACTAGTAGAGGCCAATATCCGGAACATGTGCGAAAAACGACCTCCAGACGGAAATAAACCCGCCATAAGGGAAAATTTGTATATTTTGAACAATTGAGAATTGTCAAAATCCGCAAATACGTGATTAAAGTGCCGAAAACAACGCATCCGATTTGCTTGATTTCGTTAAAACATGAGTAGATTTAACTTCAGGTGGCTGTATTGTTGTGTTCATTCTAACAGTAAACTGGAGCGACATGGCGAATAATTGACACAACCAAATGTACAGAAGAATCGGCACACCATCATCAACATCTAATTAGTGTATGACTTCAATTCGTGTGATACAAATCACCACGTTTACATACAAAATTCAGTACAAAAGATCAATCGATAGATTTGGCGAATCAGCACACAAGTCAAAATTTTGGGTAAAAGGACAATCCAAATACTCGATACTCAACTAAAGATTAAATCGCACGGATACAGTTCAGTTATCCGAATGATTGGAATATAGAATGTGATCAATGCCACAAAATACGTCAATAGGACAACTACATTCAGAGATGCGAAATCCATACGGGAAAAATTACTCATTTTGTGTTTCTCTAGGGAATATAATATTGAATTATTAGGGCCATATGGAGGGTACAAAAGATGTCGAGGTTACCTAACCTTGGCCCGTCCTAGGTCAGAAATAGTTCACAGCCAATCCTTCAGTAGTATCATCAACTCACAGCCAATCTTTCAGTAGAATCAGCTCACACCACCAATTATTAGACCACAATGGTTATCAAATGCATTGTCCAAAACACCATGGCACCATCAGCCCGTACCGAGCTCCTCCTACGTTGCCTTCTTCTTTCGTGACATGGGCTGTAAACACAACTGTTGCCTGTGCTCAAAGGTGAATTCTCAGTGAAGTTTCAAGGGCTTCACTAACTTGATGAGCCATCTCATCTCGTGTCATCGTGTCATCCCGACTACGCATCTCTGTACAAAGGGTCACGACCCAACGCCGCCGACAGCTGCGCAATCCTGTCGTACGTATCCCCCGCGTATTTCTCTCTTCACGGCTGGATGGATTTTATTAGGGAGATTTCGCAAAGTGTATTCCGTGTCCGTTTTGATAGGTACTTTTTTACATCAATAAATTACATACTGTAATGAATTGAAGTCAATTAAAAAAACTACGGATTGGGTCGATGGTCCACCCATAGGTTCAAGAAACTACATAATGAATTGAAGTCAATAATAAAAATACGGATTGGGTCGATGGTCCAGCCATAAGTTCTCTCACACTCCCCCCCAATTTCCCCATAGAACAGATGGACGAGCAGCCGCGCGATACTCACTACAAGTATGCCGTAGTGTCGTATGCACATGAAGTGAAAATAATGGTACCGGTCATTGCAATTGGCCCCGTGCTCAATCCCAGCCGTAGGTCAAATTTAGTATACAAATATCAAGTATAAAATTACAAACATTTTAAATGACCATCATTATTGTGTTGTAATTCTCTACATTACATGAGGCAATGCTTTCACAAAACTGGCACGAACTTCGTCCTCGGTTTCTTTGTTTGACGACAGATCCGTTGTCTCGAGAACCCCTGCCGCTCCGCGAAGTGCTGAAGCAGTCGAAGCATTGACTTGTACCCGGCTTGACAAGTGCTCATATACGTTTGAATCTACTCCATGTGGTCCTCGCGCAGGTACTGCAGCATGTGAGCAGACGTCACAGCCATCTATTGACGGCAAAGGTCTTTCATGTAACGTTACGTCACGAGCCCATGAGCGTCGGGTATGATCGGCATGGCACCACAGTTGCCACCTTTTCTTCGCCTTCACGCCGGGGCACAGGCGTAGCTTTTCTAGGTCGTTGATCCACAATCGGATGTAGGCCTCAGGGTACCCAAGTGTTGCTGCAGCTTCGCGTACGCTCGTGCGGTCAGCCGTCGCTATGACAGTAAGCTTCTGGGCTATGGTCGGTCGTGGCGTTTGTTGCGTTGCGCTGGTGTATGGTGATGCGAATCAGTCATTTGGCTTTCAAATTCGATTTTGGGGTCAGTGGTGTCGATTTTTATTATTATTATGCCCCCAACGAATGAGCCAATCAGAATCTTGATATAGTATGTAGACGACATGATTGGTTAATTCAAAAAAAAATTGGGCCAAAATTCTCATGTTCTTATTCAACGTCGCTCCCCGTAGTACAATCACGGAAACTCATGAAAATTTCTAGCGGAATCCGTGAAAATCACGGATTCGGATAATCATAAGAAATACTACTCTGGTCCACAATGATCGTTACGGTATTTTGACTCGATTAAAGAATAACGTAGAATGCCACTTTAAGGCGTATGTGCCACTTTAAGTCGTATCGAAATCGCCCAATCACTGAACGATTTCAATTCGCGGCAAAACCTGTTAAAGCCAATACTCTCATACAGAGTCATTAAGTCTTTCGCGCCAACAATGCCAGCGCCTCGTACGAGGTCTCGCTACCCAGCCAAGCTGCTTGAGCAAGCAGTGAATGACGTGATCCAAGGCAAGGTTGGCGCCAAGGTCGCCGCAAGCACAGGTATACCCTACGAGACGTTAATGCGCAAGGCCCGACAGCGAAGAGCCGGCCAAGACAGCGGGAGTAGTCGTCGTGGAACCAAGCCCATGTTGCCAGCATCCTGTGAAGAAGACCTGGTTGCCTGGATCTCTGGAATGCAGCAAGTTGGTCAGCCTGTGGACCGCCATGAGATTCTTGTCAAGGCATCGCAGATTCTGCGCCGCATCTCGTCACGCAGCAAGTTGTCCGGTGGTTGGTACCGCCGATTCATGCAGCGCCACCCCTCGCTCACAAACCGCGTCGCCCAAGTCATTTCGTCCGCGAGGAACAGCGTTGACGAAGACGGGGTGAAGCAGTTGTTCGACTCAATGGAGGAGGCGATCGAGACCTACGGCTTTACGGCGGACCGCATCTTCAACATGGACGAAACGTCCTTTGCTTCCCGTCGGAAGTCCAAGGATGTTGTGGCGCTCAAGGGCTCGCGCAATGTCTGGGCGAAAACGATTGCGGCGAACTTTCACCTGAGTATCGTTGCATGTGGCAATGCTGCTGGTACCTTCATCCCTCCCCTCTTTCTGCTGCCCGGTGAGTCGATCGACAAGGATATTGGCTCGCACTGCACTGTCCCTGGCGCTACTGTTACGACGACCCCAAAAGGATTTATGAATGAAGATTTGTTTGAAACTTGGTTGAGATATTTCGCAAAAACTGTGGATGAAAATATTGAGCGTCCACTTCTGTTGGTGTTTGATGGTTTAGCTTCGCACTATTCTACTGAGATTGTAACATTGTCCGCCCAATTGGATGTTG